ACTTCTGAGTGTGATTTTTATCGTTATTTTCGTATGAAAACCGCGATCTAAGAAACACAGCTTCCGCAGCGAACAGCTTCCGATGCCCACGCGGTCGGCTCCGCTTCCACGAACCGCTGCCTAGTTTTTCGTCCGGAAAAGTGAGCCAAAGTGCTTCTTTTCTCCCTCGTTTTGCCCCGGCCCGCTCACGAGCCCTTATTAATTTCAATTTGGGGGACTCCGCTCCGCCAGGTAGAGACCTTCACTCGAGGGGGAAAAAACGCGCAGTGTTTGCCAGCAGAATGTGAAAAATGGTTGGGAACGTCGCGGTCGCCGTCATTGCGTATATTAAGTACCTTCCGGTTGCGACATAATGAGGGGAAGAACCTTACTCGCGGAAGTTTTGATGATACGTCAGGCGTAATTGGATCACATTAGTCCTCCCCATTATCTTAACCTGCTACTCATGTGACGAACGTGGTCGTTGCGCGCCCGGTTATTGAGGAAGAGGCGGGTTTTTCGCTGGGGTTGTGCTTGCTATAAACGATGCACCGACTGCGGAGCGGGGCTGGGCCGTGCCGTGAACGTTTCCAAACGTTCAATGCGATATGGCCGTCCGTGCTTCGGAAACATGCACTTTAAATGTCGTTAATGGAGATGTAATTCTGAGGATCGTAACTTTCGTTCAAAACATAAAAGGTCATCAACAGTATGCAAGGAATATCATGTGCAAGATAGCAATTTGTTGCGTTACACGTTGCTGTGATTTAATGATTATGATAAGATCCTTAAGTGAGCGCTAATTTTGAGCCCAGACGAACTTGTGTAATGAATGCAACCAATACTGAACGAGAAAGTTGTTTTTGTTGTGCACATTACGTTTGCTTATAATATGTTATTCAAGATAATTTAACTAGAATTATAAGGTAATAAAAACTTTTAGGAACAAGAAGAGGACCATCTTGTGTCTGTAGAGATGAGAAGCGTTTCAAAAAGTTCTGCAATTTAATTTCAAGAAATGAAATTTGAAAATTGTAGATAGAGTTATTTCTGCAGATAGGTGTATACAACCTGATGGCAGAACACTACAATTAACTATTACAATTAGGAATATTAATACAATGTAATTTTAAATCATTTTAAGAGGCTAATAGAAATAACAGTAATAATAATTATTATATCATAACAATGAAGACAATAATAACAATAATAGCATTAACTACATTTCATGACTGTCCTGCACAGAATTTTAACTAATAAACACACTTCACTTCACTACTCTTTCACCTCACTTCTCTTTCACCTCACTTCTCTTTCTACGTCTCTATTGCACTACACTTCACAACACGTCACGACACTCCAATTCAACTACTACTTCAAATATAATTATATATTCAATATAGCAATGCATTTAATAATAATTATCACAATACTAATAATCATAATTACAACAATAATAAAATAATTACTATTTGAATAAGCCTAACTTATTAATAAATTTTACATTTGTCCTTAGTTAATATAGTTTTAAATCTTTGTTCGCCTAGAGGAAAGGGTTCGGTGGCTGTCGCATGCAACATATTCCAGTCCGTTATTGTTCTATTTGTGAAGAAAAATCTTTCAGCACCTTTTTTCTGTGTCCTCAACTGAATTTTGTGCTTGTGATCCCCTCTAGTAAAGTAAGTGGTTCTGTCGAGTCGAATGAAAATATCTTTCCAAGCAGCTTAACCGGCATACAGAGCACGGTTTCTCCTTAACTTTCCTGATTTCTTGAGATTCTCATTCTACTTTCTTCCTATTACTATTGAAAGTAAGTTTACATGCTGTTCTCTGTTCTCTATTCAAATATTCCTTTTGTGAATTTCTGTAAGGTCATGACTTTAGTCACATTAGTCATATAAATCACTACCCTAAAGAAGCCTGCGATATGACAGGCGGAACGTCGACCTCTCTGCAAACGACGCGGCGTCACCTGGACAGCCAAAAAGTCAAGGAACTCGAGCCGCGGATGCCTACGTGTACAATTTCATTAAGGGTCCCATACGGGTCCCATAAGGGTTCGATAAGGTTACCGTTATCGCAAGCTCTTTTCTGGTATTAGGTGGCTGGGAATTACATTTGTATATTTTTTGTTTAAATTGCAGCTCAGAAAGAATAAAATCATAATAAGGGAACAAGCAGATCATTTTTCTTTGCCGTTTTTCTGAACACACCATTTCGATGGTAGGTGCTGGTCAGTTGTGTGATATCACAAAGTCCGATTAGGTGAATCATTGATTGGGCATCAGTTCGGCACAGCATTAAGAATTCAGTCGGTTTTGAATGCATTTCCTCGTCAAAGTTTCATTTCTCATTGACGCTACAAATTTTGACGGATTTAAAAGACAAAAAAGTTTTTTGAAAAGCACTCAAGCACACACCTCTCCCTCTCATTCTCTCTTCCTTATTCTCTTTCCTACTCATCCTTCCATTCTCTCCCCCCCCCCATCTTGTGAATTTCTGGCCTTCGGATGGGAATAGCGCAATATCGTTTAAAGTAATCGCCCATGACCTCGTTATGCCTCATATGAGTGCGCTGAGCAAAGAATACGGGACAAACGCTTCAATCCCAATACGAAAATGGCTGGAAACTCTTTGTTCGGGTTCTGAACCTGAATTAATTAGCAAAACGAAAAGGAGGTACGCGGAGGTGTGTACATTTGAAACGGCTCACCGTGTGTGACCTTCCACGTAGGCCTCTCGGCGAGTGGCGTGGGAACGCCTGAGCTCGCCTGGTATGCGCACTACCGTCTGCAGCTAATGAGCGCCATCACTTCGCCCTGGCGGCCAGGCGAGCGCGCGTCTCCTGCCTGCCCGCCCGCCCGCGTGGAAGAGTTCCGCCCCCCGCTCCCCTCGCACGCGCCGCCGCCGCCGCCGCCGCCGTAAAGAGCGGACGGGTTATGCTGCGTTCGTTTATGCCCGGCGCTGACGGGGCTGACACGTTTACGCATCGTAATTCGCCGCGCGGGCGTGGGGCCGTGGCCGGTCGCGCTCGCCGCCCCCCGGGGTCACGCGCCGGCTCGCCCCAACCCGCCCGCCGGCCAATTACTCCTTGCCACTTCCACGGCACGCTGCATCCTGCTGCACCGTCTTCCTCCGCTCCTGTCTCTTCATCATCGTTCTTCTTGTTATTTATCCTCATTTTTCTGCACCCTGTCACTCGCCTCATTCTTTCGTTTCCCTTCTTCTTCTACTTCTTCGTCTTCTTCTTCTTCTTCTTCTTCTTCTTCTTCTTCTTCTTCTTCTTCGTCCTCTCCTCTTTCCTTCGTCGTCGTCTTCTCCTTCTCTTTCGTCGTCGTCGTCTGCTTCGTCGTTGTCTTCTGCTTCGTCGTTGTCGTCTTCTCCTTCGTCGTTGTCGTCTTCTCCTTCGTCGTTGTCGTCTTTTTCTTCGGATGTTATTTAAAAGAGAAAACTTTGTTGGAATTAATATTGTAACATTGAAATAACATGTGGAGCTGGTCATGGAAATGTCTACATGAAGATGTAAGAAACGTGATGAACTGTTCGCAACTAATTTCCCCTGTATACTTTATTACATTTCGACTTCATGATAGGTTATAACTATTTAATATTTACTAATATTTTATCTAATCACGATTGGTGGACTCGAATATTACGTTATCGTTTCAAATCGAAGAATTTTCGGAAAATGTTATTTCAATGTTACAAAGTATATTACATTTTTATGGTGGTGGATGCTTGATTTAAAGCTTTCGTTGTCGTTTCTGTGAATTTTAACCGAGAATGCATTCACTGTTTCCTCCAGTTATTAATCTGGAATTTTGTCTTTTGTTACCTGGCGAAATGAAAGGGGGGGGGGCGGAAATACCGCCTAAAAGTATTTTTTTAATGCGTGCAACGCAGTTCTCGGAATTCTGTTTGTATGGATGTGCCCATTTTTTCAGCAAATCGTTGTTGCGGTGCAGCCAGAGGCTTGGCATCATGCTTGCGAAAAAAAAAATGCCGACAGAAAATTCGATAAAATGATTTCCGTGTTGTTTGAAATCATAAAAAGTATTTGCAATTTAATGAGATTTTTCCATTATTTGGAATTAGCATATTGTGCACACGATAATGAGTCTCTAGATTTTGAATGTAACATAATTTATGTTTAGTAAATGGCGTTTTGAATTCATTTTAATAATTCTAAATTGAAATATACCGTCTTTACCTATTTTAGGTACCGATTAAAACATTCTTAAAGTTAAAACAATATATATTGGCGTTGTGTTAGGTGAATTAATTGAACATGTTCAGCGCATAATATCTTATGTTGTATATCAAATCCTCGTCTACTAATCATCGGTGAAGGGGTATTAGGTGTCTCCTGTTTCGGTTTAAATCATGTTTTTCTTTCTTTCTAGATTTGCACTTTGCGTACCACTGGTTGCATAATCATAAAGTCCCATTCACAATTCAAACATAAACATAAGCATGGCGTTAACATAAAAGTTAGGACTACGTCCATAAGCGGACTCATTCACAATGCGTTCGCATAAGCATAACACGTAAGACGTTAACTTGTAAGCTTGCAAGCTTCTGTACTTGAGACATAAGAAATGAACCAATCACACAACGGCAACCCAAAATCGATAATCGAAATTGGAGCGAAGTCAATAGAAGAACTAACGCCATATCGGCCATGGACACAGTCGATACCTTGATATCGATTCTCACATCAAACCAATAGTTAACCAGAATGTCTCACAGCCAATATAATAAACTCGTATTTTGCTTACGTTTATGCTAGACATTGTGAATACTTGAGTTGTTACACTTCTGTTGTTTCCGTCTGCGCGCTGTGCTTATGTGCGCGAAGAGAAGCGAGGACTGTGGGCTGACGGCGCGCGCGCGCGCGTGGCTGTGCGCAGATGATCCAGGTGGTGACCAACTACCGCAACTGCAGCACGGGCCAGCTGTCGGCCGCCACGGGCTTCATGCTGTTCTTCGGTTCGCTGGCGCGCATCTTCACCTCCATCCAGGAGACGGGCGACTCGGTGCTCGTCATCACCTACCTGTGCGCCTTCACGGTGAACGCGCTCATCGCGGCGCAGCTCGTGTACTACTGGAACGCGCCGGCGCCGGCGCCGGGCAAGGCCGGCCGCCCGGCCAAGGCGCCGGCCAAGGCGGCCGCGGCGGCGGCGGCGGCCAACGCGCCCGCCTCGCCCAAGGCCAAGGCGGCGCGCCGCAAGACGGAGTGAACACCCGCCGGCGCCGCAAAGGTACGACCGCGGTCCCTAAGGCCGGAGGGAAACGCGCTGCTTTGCGCGAACGATTCCGGAGTTGGGGCGAACGCGCAAATGCACAGCGCAGACTCCCAGACTAAAACTGAAAATCTGTTGGTTAGTTTTCGGAGTTCACGCGTACAGCGCAATATCACGACGTGGACGTGACTGATTGATTGAGTGTGATTGATTGATTTATTGATTGATTTGATTGAGTGATTTATTGGTTGAGTGCTTTATTGATTGAGTGATTGAGTGTGATTTGATTGACTGAATGTGATTGTTTGGTGATTCCTGGCACATCTACTACCAGGCTCATTAACCCCGTAAATATAGTGCATGTTTTTTGCACGGGAGGTGGCGATGATCGTTCCCTCGCCGTGGGGCGAGATCCGGCGCCGACCTATCGTCGGCTGGCGGGGTCTACCCCCAACCCGATATCTCCCACCAGAGGGGCACCGCCCCAGCCGGGACACTCTCTTGTCTCCTGACGGGCCTTCCGGCATGTGTGGTTGTGTAAGGGGGTGAGGAGTGTGTGTGGCTGTAAGGGGGTGAGGATTGGACAAGGGAGAGGAAGATGAGATCGCGCGCGGTCCGTCGCCCGTTTTATACAGTGTATATACTAGTATAATATATACACCCACATACATATTAGAGTTTGGGGAAATTGGTCGGTTGCCAGGCGTATAATGTAGGTGTGGTTGGTAACTATACTCACATGAAAAATTCGGGTTGGGAAAAATACCACTAGGGATTTGGGGTGGGAGAAATATTCTATAAGCGTCAAATTCCAGAATGTTCAAATTCCGTAAAAAATTAACTTTTTTTTTGTACTCTGGAATTTCATGACTTGCATTACGGGCAACTGGGATAAAACTGATATTATTTTTAAATATAAAAAAATGCGATGTAAATCGTTTGAAAATAATTGTTACATTATGAAACAAAATAAAAAAGTTATTGTTATAAGCAAGAAAGCCCTGCATCATTACGCCACTTTACTTCATGTGACTTCGTATTTATTAATGATCGAATTCCTACTTTTGAATTTATGGCGAGAAAAAACCCGCGCCTCGATTATAACATTCACTGAATTAATTTCATTATAATGGTAATATTGTGGCGTCGTTAACACGAGGGCCAGAACCATTACATCGGTGAAAGTGCGCTGCGGGGGAGGAAGGGGTTGATCCTGAACTTCCCGGATTTTGCGCTGTGGCAGTTAACGCAGACAGCGTGGCAGAGCCAAATTTAACCTTAGGTTGTAAACTCCTAGGAAGCTGGCCAGCGAGCCTCGCTTCCCGACAACAGGCGAGCCTACCTGGGAATCTTGTGTGGTGGGGGTGTTGCCCCCTCCTAAGATGCTGGCTTGCGAGCCTCGCTTGCGAACAGCAGGCGAGCCTATCTAAGGAAATTGTGAGGTGGGGGTGTAGCACTCAACTATTTAACGCGGCGCCATCTGCGCCCGCGTTCTCATTCAGTTTGCATCGGAGAGCGTAGTACGCGTAGGTACAAGGAGCGTAGGAGTGTGGGCGAGATGTCCGGAGTGTAAGGGCCAGACGATTTCGGGTGCTTTCTGCACGCGGACCGCCAGACGGCGACCGGTTTAAATTTTGGCATCAGGCCATGTGACGGTAATTGTCACGGGACGGAAGTCCTACAGCTCGCATCACGCGTGGCTTTTTTTCTGCGGTAAAGCAGGGTACTGGAAGGAAAAGGTTGCCGGAGTGTTTAAATTTAGCAATTTATTGTAACTAGTCTGTAACTTTTCAATATACTATTTTTATTTTTGTTATTTGAATTTATTCTCATTTCACTACGTCACAATATGTGTTCAAGTGAGTGTATTGTGAGGCCGACGAAACTAATTGTCATATGCGAACTAAGAGTTTTGATAACCACTGATTAGGTTTGTGTGATTTAAGTCTTCTTTTTTTTTAATTTGTTCAAATTAAATTTCCCTTTTTTCTATTCTATAGTTACTTCATTTGAATATTACTTTTCATTTTATTGTAACCTTTCGCATTCAAATGAAAGGTTTCTTGATTAGAAGTGTATGAAGATTAAGAAAAATGGTTCGTGTAAGTGGGTGTGTGGTTGGCGGTGGGTGTATGGCCAACGGACGTCGTGTTATATTTACGAGGATAATTTCCTCATAAATACAAGAACACACTCGCAGTATCGCTAAGAATATACAAATAATACATGGTACAAAAACTTCCCCAATGCCCTCTTGGCGCTGACCAAGACAGTCCAAGATTGATCATTAAGTAACAAAATAGCAGAAACGTGGAAAAATTAGAAGTGGTTATTTCAATTAAAATTATTTTTAATTCTTTTATAAATATAATTAACTGGTGTGAATATAAAGTGGATACACCTTTACCAGTCTTACCACTCACTATCCTGATTGCTTATTGCCCACGTAACGTGGTCTTGGTGTATCCTGGACAATCGCGCTCACTTTGATTTGCTCTTTCCATTCATTTTTATGATCACTGTCCCCATTCTGTAAACTGCGCTTGTCCATTCACGCATCTACGTGCCAAGTATGTATGTGTGTGTGTGTGTGAGTGAGTGAGTGAGGAAGGAAGATACTGAGTGAAAGAAAGGGGGAGACAAAGAGAGGCTTGATTTTTATTCGACGAATATTAACAATGTATTTCGCAGGTGAAATAATCAGTAAATACTAAAAAAGAGTTATTAACAATATAAAATGAAATGCAAATAACAAAGTTACACATAAATAATTTCCTTGTGTTTCACAAACCTATAACAAAACAATTGGACATCATTACAACAATATTATAATATTATTGTTGACAATTTCTGAAATTAAGAATGTAAGGGCAATACTAGAACCATTTTAGGTGAATGTTAATTATCAGAAGGGTGGGGAGAAGGGCTGGTGTCTGAGCGTTGCTTTTGCCCACAGGTGCTGCCGCCGCCCCAGCCCGCCCCCGGCGCCGCCGCTGGCGGCCCAGCGGACGCGGCGCGGCGCTCCGGCACCAGGCCGCCCCCACTTGCCACTTTCCTCCCCCTTTCTCCCCACCCCTCCTCGCCCTTCCCCTCCCTTCCGTTCGTCCCCTCCAGACTCCTGCCTCGGTGTCTCTTCCCCGCTGCCTCGTCTCATCGCAAATCTCTTTCCAGGTTTTCTTTCCACTCACAGCTCTTTCCGAATCCCTCGTGGTTCCTTCAGACCTCACGTCTTGGAGCGCGTTTGCCACCCGCACTATGGTTGTGAATCACGTGTCCTCACGCTTTCCTGACGCACAAGCTCAATATAGTGTGAGGATTTACGATACGAAAAGGAAACGAGTTTGTAGGATTAAAATTGTATATTTTTCTCAGTTTTTTTTTTCTTCTCCAGAGGAGAGAAATGGAGTGCGGTCTTACGAATTGACAATGTTACGTTGTTGAAATGGTTCAGTTCCAATTGTTCACCGCGAGACGGGAGGGTAGGCGTAATGCTATAGGCAGGTAAAATAAAATGTAGATTTGTGAAGGAGAGAATGCAACACTGCCAGATATTCCATTTAGAGTGGGAAAAAGGCAATATATGTACACTTAATTTTTTAAACACATAATTAAACGAAAATGTCAGAAAAGATTGAGTTATGAACTGGTACCAAGAAATTCAACGTACTTCAGTTGCCTTGTAGATTCAGCGCACTGAACTTTGCACACAAGCTCATATATTTCGAGTCATTCCTAATGACAAGCCAGGTGAGTTGCTGTGAGTTAGACTTGCTCTTTCGCTGACTGTGTTATGTTTTTAAGTGTTGGTGAAGCTGAAATATACACTTCAACATATTTGAGTTACAGAGTGTGTGTGTGTATGGTACAAGGTCTGTATGTTCAACGTGGTGGGATATTTTTCTTTCTCTTTTTTTTCAAGCGAATTATGGTATTATATCAGTGTTTCGACATTGTTTATTATTCAACCTTCAAAAAGGTGCTCTGTGATCAATTGTTGGATTGTATAAATACGATTTTTTGACATATAATTGTGTAAATTATTTATGCCTTAGGTTTCCTTGCTGACTTCCTTTCCTTTGTAGTTCCGGTCCACAAAATGTAATACATGTTTTCTCAGTTGGGAATCGACCTCATATGTAAAATTGTTTAATGGAGAAAAAAAACTGATAATAACTTTATCTGTGATCTTCGCAAATCAAGATTAGAGAACAAGACAATCTTATGTAGTGTGCACGAAAGTGAAGATAGAAATTATAAAGAAATAAGGAGTTAGTGTACATTTTTTAATAATAATTATATCAACAGTAGGGGGGGGCTAACACTGAGAATTACCGACTCGTGTAGAGTCCACCAAGTGTGTGTCATTGCGTTGGAATGATACCAGCATACCAATGTTTTGACCATTTGAACTGCTGTGCTTTCTGTGAATGTGCTTCGTTTTCGGCAAATCTAGCGATTCTGGCAGGTGTTTGGAGCTGAACGTCTAAACTAATTGACGCATTTCCTCCAACATACAGTGTATTAGTTGTTATTAGTGGTGGTGGTGGTGGTCCCAACTGCATAGTTACTGTTGACTGACGTGTAGTTTCTGAAATAGCCACTTTTTCATCCCGCTGACCTGTGAGGCTGGAAGCAAGGTATCACCCCAATTGTGTAAAAGCAACGTAAGGACGAGAGGGGACGAGGACGCTTTCGGCAGCGAAGGCCTCTGGGCGAGCGCGCACGCAGGACAATGGCGGCCGAGGCACGCGCCCGCACCACTACCCTTTCGCGGCCGCGGACGCGCGTCGGCGCTCTAATTGGCTGGGCCCCGTTCGTTAGGCGCTCGCCCCCGCCCCGCCCCCGCCGGCGGACGCTTGTAATTGAATTGTGGCCACCGCCCGCTGCATGTCTCAATGCGGCAGCCGCTGCGCCTCTCGCAGCCTCCAGGCGGCGTGCGTTGGCCTGGCTTTTGCTTTTGCCCCTACCTCTGCCTCTGCCTTGGGCATTCATCCCAGATGAGAAGCACTCGCTAAGTAGGTCGTAAAGTGGTGGGCAACGGATGCACAACATCGTGGTTGCTGTGGTCGAAGGTTACATGTAGGCGGAGGACGACGTAATGGGATTCGGGCAACATTAGATGTATGGGATGGATATTAAGTTTTATTAAATTTTCGAATGAAATCTCAGTATGTGATTAAGGATTTAAGTAGAGAACCGACCAATCTCGCACAGTTTCAAAAACGTAATAGTGAATGTGTTGATGTTTCATTACATCTGAATTAAAAGAAAGCTTTAAGAAACTAATTTAGTAGTGAATTTTTCATTTGAAAATTATAAAACTAGAACACTAAATGAAATATAAACACATGGTAGATAATACATGAATATACACTTACACATAGTAGTAAATACTTAAATACTACTAATACATTGTTGTACTACCTATTACAATCAGGCAATGGAGCATATTAACGTGCCATTTCTAAAAATATATATAATTCTTTGAATATTGCATTGAATATTTTGTTATCGTATCTTCGGCTCTTCCACTCACTGAGGTTCCACAAAACATTTGAATCGTGGAGCGATTACCCCCAAATTTTGCGGCGAAATACCTAACGCATACGTCTTCCAGAGACGGGGCCCCGAGTTCGAAGGGATGTGTTCAAGTCGAATGACTGATGGAGCAAGCAAGTTCTGGCCAGGTTATGTCGGGAATCCTGTCCATGAAAGTCATGCGGTTTATTTGTCCATGAAACTCATCGCTAGGGAGGCGAATTTTGATGACCTAAAGCATTGCCAAAAATGATAAATAAAATTCTATAAAAACAAAGAAAAATGACGTAAAAATTTGGTCAAAATCACTTCAAATGAACAACATAAGCTGTTGGGTATGTTACTGATATAATCGAGGCTTCCTTTTATTCCAGTGAACTCAGCTTGCAAACTTTGGGTTTTGACTGTTCTTTAAATGAAAATCTGCATTTATTTGTGTTATAATAAGAGTCACAGAAACAGATTACGTAGTACTGACAACTGTTGACATTACAATATACACTATATAACAAATCGAATAGGCTACTCAGGAATTCTGTAGCGAACATTTGTTGCACCTCGTATATATTGTTTGAAGCAAGTAGCGTTAAAATCGATGAAATTAGCGAAAAATGTTGTAAAAAGGTAAAAAATTAATCGAAATCGACGAAAAATGCAAGGAAATGAGTAATTTTGTTTTGTCTTTAATAGAAGAACCCCGTTAATTTCATAAATACATTTTGTGCGGCAGCAGAAGACGTCGTGTGGAGAGGGGGACAATGCAAAATATTTTTACAGAATTTAGTTAAATGCATTCAGGGTTCGTTTCTTGTATCCATCATGAGAAATAAAATAAACTGAAATTGACTCTAAAATAATATTTAACCTATGGATAGATTCGAGTGAGGAAACCTGAAACGTTGCTCTGATTTAACCATCATAATGAAAAATTGTTCAAATCTATGGTATTTATTTTTAATTGACATTAGTAATTTTTATCACTTAAATTATGGTTGTCTGTAATACCTTTTCTTGACAACTGTAATTCCGGATTATAATGATTATGATGAAAATGTTTGTGACTTCTCGAAGCTCTTTACGCTGACAGTAATGCTGAGTAATATCCCCTTCATCTTTAGATGCGTATATCATTTCGTAGAATAACAGATTACTATCTTGTTGCAGATTTTTACGTCAGTCATTTCAAATCACACGTTAGCACCGGAGTTGTGAGCTACATTCTTCCTTCCGACGACAAATTTAAAAGCGAGTGTATCGCCGCGACATTGAGGCTGCTCGCTTACAACGTAGACGGTTTGAGTTTCAATTAAACGAAAATTGGAGTGCAACTCATTGTCCATCTGCTCGTCTTTCGTTCCTGACCTTGCGCCTAGTCCCTTCGCAAATGGCCTTAAAGGCTCATAATGAGGTGAGTCCGTCTGATTGCGGCAACCCGCGTGAACCAATTACCGACGGCTCACAGGCGACGCAGCGGAACCGATCGGGTCGCCGGCTCCACGCCTCTCTCTCTCTCTCTCTCTCCATTCCGCCCCGCCACCGCCCGCACCGCCCGCTCCGCCCTTCCCCGCCCCGCCCCGCCGCGCCTCTCGCACGCCCTCGTTACGGCGCGGCCGAGGCGCTTTCAAGCGTTCTGTTTCCCATTCGCAGGCTTTGTGGCGGCTCATTGAAACCGGGCGGCGCTACGCGGGAAAGCGGGCGCTCCCCGACCCCGCTTCCGCCTGCTCTCGCAGCTCGAATTTATTTTCAGCCTGATTAAATTCCGTAGGTGGCGCGGCGGCGCCCCGGCGGGGAGCAGCAGCAGCAGCAGCAGCAGCAGCAGAGCGCGGGCAATGCGGCCAGGAAATAAGTAATGCCCGCCGATCAATCCGCAAGGCCGTGCAGGCGGCGGCGGGGGGCGGAGGGGGCGGGACGCGCGACGATGGCGCGCGCATAAGCCCCATGAATAGTGGAGAGGCGTCGGCCCTGCTACGCCGCCGCCGTGGCTGCTGTGGGGTTGATGAGGCCAATCTGTTATGCGGAGCGCCGCGGTGGCCGCGGCCCGCCTTATTAGTTCCGTATCATCAAGATGAGCCGCGCGGCGCGGTGTTGCGCCGTGGCGGCCGAGTTTGTGAAATGGCGCGTCGCGTCGGTGGGTGTGCCCGCCGGCCGGTCGGTCTGCCTGGCGGCCGCCAAGTCCAGGGGAGGAGGCTGTTAATAACCTGGTGATCGGGTGGGGGGGGGACGGGGCGGTTCGGATGCATCGCCCCCCTGAGCGTGGCCCAGCGCGGCGCCAGAAATCGCTCACATGGGGATAATTGCGGCGGTAGAGCCCAATTACGGCGGCGCAGCTAATCACGAGCTCCTGCGCGCGCGGCGCGGGCGGCCATTTTGCGCGCTGACGTCACCTGACGTCACGCTGCCCGGCGCTGTTGGTTTATTTTTTTTTATCTTCCCTTTGATTTGCTTCTCGTGTGACGGACTGCGCGTCCTCTTGCATGGGGCCTTTTCCGGTTCGTCCTCAATCCGTGCTTCCTGCGTTGCGTGTTCTGGTAGGTAGGAGGGATTAACAAAAAAAAACAAAAACAAAAAAAATTCAGTTCGAATTCTGTTACTGCACACTTTTAGGCTTAAGGATTACATTTTCATTTGCATTCACCGTTACAGACTACTGGTCTGCCTCCTATTAGAGAATTAGGTTAGAAACGAAAATACGCGGAACATATCCTTCTATTAGGGGGGGAAAACGACCTAAATTATTAATTCGGTATGAATTTTTTTCTGAATTTCTTCAATTAAAAAAAATCTATATGTATTTGTGCTCTTTGATAGGCATATTGTAAAGGGTAATAATCCTTTCACGTTGATCTGATTTGAAGGCGTTAAGCCGGACGGGAGTAATTTAAATAGATTTTACGAATTCTGCTTGGAAGTATCGAACGCGTTAGTGGGCCAATTACTGCGCCACAACAGCGTCTCAAACCCCTACCCCCACCCCCGTGCCCGCGAGCGGTCGTGTCGCATTTGCATCGGCGCAGCCCTCGCGTCGCGGGTTCGCACCCCCACGCGGCGGCAGGCGGGGGGGGGGGCGAGTGCCCTCGTGGGCGCACGTGCGGCCGCTGGTCCTTAATTAGCGGTGCTGCCAACGTGCCGCCCCCCCCCCCGCCCGGCACGTGCCAGCCCCTCCCCTTCCCGGAGGCGCGCTGATTGTGCCGATGCTCTTTTGCCTGTGGAGGGGGTGGCGCGCGCCGGGTGTTTTCGTCTCGAGGGTGAAAGAGCCGGCCACTGTTACCCCTGAACCTCTTTTGCCCACCGCTTCTATTGGTGAGGTATCCGTTTCTTACTATATGATCATTATTACAATGTGTTACGACGGGTAGTTTTGTACATTCAACGATGCTGTCATGCGAGATGAAGCTTATCCGTAAGGCAGAGTTAGGGAACGTTTAGGCAGCGTCCAATTTATTGGG